AATGACAAAACACCAATACAATATACTAATGCATATATATGGAATTTAGAAAGACAGTAATGATGACCCTATATGTGAGACAGCAAAAGAGACACAGATGTATAGAATAGTCTTTTGGACTTTGTGGGAGAAGGTGAGGGTGGGAAGATTTGAGAGAATAGCATTGAAACATGTATATTATCATATGTGAAACAGATCACCAGTCCAGGTTTGATGCATGAGACAAGGTGCTCAGGGCTGGTGCTCTGGGATGACCCTGAGGGATGGGGTGGGGAGGGAGGTGGGAAGGGGGTTCAAGATGGGAAACACAGGTACATCCATGTCTGATTCATGTCAATGTATGGCAAAACCCACTACTGCTGCTGCTAAAGTCACTTCAGTCGTGTCCGACTCTGTGCGATCCCATAGACGGCAGCCCAGCAGGTTCCTCCGTCCATGGAATTCTCCAAGCAAGAACACTGGAGTGGGTTGCCATTTCCTTCTCCAAAGCATGAAAGTGAAAAGTGAAAGTGAAGTCGCTCAGTCGTGTCCGACTCTTAGCGACCCCATGGACTGCAGCCTACCAGGCTCCTCCGTCCATAGGATTTCCCAGGCAAGAGTACTGGAGTGGGTTGCCATTGCCTTCCCTGGCAAAACCCACTACAATATTGTAAAGTAATTAGCCTCCAATTAAAATAAACAAATTTTAAAAAAAAAGAAAGGGACTGAGAAAAAAAAGAAACAAACAAACAAAAAAAAAGTACATTGACACCGAACACCTACTGTTGGAGAAAATAAAGCAGATTTACAGTACCTACAAGAAAAAAAAGAATCCGTCTGTCAATACCAGGGACACAAGTTTGACCCTGGTCACACATACCATGAAGCAACTAAAGTCTGTGTGCCACGACTATGGAGCCCCTGATCTAGAGCCCACGAGCCGCCACTACTGAGCCCACACACTCCAGCTGCTGAAGCCCGCACGCCTAGAGCCTGTGCCCAGCGACAAGAGAAGCCACCACAGGGGAAGCTCGTGCCGCGACGAAGAGTAGCCCCGGCTCACCACAACCACAGAAAGCTCGCGCACAGCAACAAAGCACAGCCAAAAATGAATGAGTAAATAAAATATTTTTAAAAGACCAAATTATAAGAAAAAAAAGGCAAGTGAAGAGATTTTCTCCAGCCTTAGAACAAACTGAAGTAATACAGGCTGAAGAAACACTGAGTCGTAAATACCTATTGAGTCAATCTCAACATTTTCAACCTTCTGAGTTAAATATTGTTTTCAAGCAGATTTAAATGGCTGAGGGATTAGGGCTAAAGGCACAATTAATTTGCCTAAGTGGCTGTGTCTTGGAGCCCAAAGAAGGTCACAAGGATGCAAGCGTGTACACTGCCTTAACAGCACACAGTACTGGTCCCTAGGCCTTTTTGATCATCTACTCTATCAATAAAAAGACATGTTATACTGATACTGAATTAAGATATGCATTATAGCACATATAGAGATCAAAACTCCTTAAAAGAATGAAGTAAATACAGCAAGTAAACAGAGGTTCTACTTTTTCTTCTTATCCTCCAATGGGTAGTCTTTTACAAGCCTACATTCAATTTAGAAGAACACTTGTCTATGCGATTACCACACAATGAGCAAGTAGCCATGGAGAACAGTTGTGTATAAAATAAAACAAAAATATAATTAGACCTAACCCTTATTAAGCACTTACCTGGTACCAGGCACTGTTCTAAGCAATCTATGTGGTTTTGTTTTAGCTCCTTTAATCCTTAAGACAATCTTATGAGCAGTTGTATTATTAACCCTCATTTTACCAAAAAAAAAAAGATAAAATGAAAGACTAAGTTTCTTGAGGTCATACAGCTGGTAAGTGTTGGATCCGGGCTACTTTTTAAAAGTAAATGTTTCATTTTGAAATCATGTTTAATTAACAGGAAAGTTGCAAAGATAGTACAGAGTTCCCTTATACCATTGCATAGCTTCCTCCATTGCTAAAATCCTATATAATCAGGATACATTCAGCAAAACAAAGAAATCAACAGTTGTACATTAACTAAATTCCAGGCTTTACTTGGGTTTCACCAGCTTTCCCACTAATATCCTCTTTCTGTTCCAGGATCAAACCTAGGGGTGCCATCGAAAAGTGGTATGCATGCTAAGTCGCTTCAGCCGTTTCCGACTCTTTGCAACCCTATGGACTGCAGCCCACCAGGCTCCTCTCTCCATGGGATTCTCCAGGCAAGAATACTGGAGTGAGTTTTCCATTTCCTCCTCCGGGGATATTGCCATACCCCTCCTGATTTGGTGCGTCAGTGTTTTAATAGAGAAACAGTCACAGTAGGACGTGGAGATGGACACGTATATATCAGTCCTTCCCTCTCCCTGATTCTGCAGGTCATCTTTCCTCTATGCATGTCTTTGTGTCCAAATTTCATCCCCAATAAAGACACAATCATATTGGATTAGGGCCCACCCTAATGACCTTGTCTTAAGTTGATGATCTACAAAGATCCTATTTCCGAAAAAGTTCCCATTAACAGAATATATGTTAATGTATGAAGGGTGAGAACTCCTGCATTTTGGAGGTAGTCACAATTGGAGAAGGAAATGGCAACCCACTCCAGTATTCTTGCCTGGAGAATACCATGGACAGAGGAGCCAGGCGGGCTATAGTCTATGGGATCTCAAGAGTTGGACACAACTAAGCGACTAAACCACCACCACCACAATTCAACTCATAACTAGGTACACCTGAAATCAACAGGGCAGCCACCAGGAAGGGCAGGCTAGAGAGACTTCTTAGGAAGGGCCTGAGCTGCTGTCAGAATTCCTTCTGCTTCAGAGAATCCTTTGATCTTAAGGCTTTTCAACTGTTTCAATCAAGCTCACCCAGATTATCTAGGATAATCTTCCTCATTTAAAGAAAACTGATTATGGACTTTAATCACATCTGCAGAATACCTTCACAATCATATCTAGATTAGTGTTTGACTGAATAACCAGTGACTGTAGCCTAGCCCGACACATAAAACTGATCATCATACCTTGTAATACATTTAGATTCATAAACATAAAACTTACTCCCTTAACCATGTTTAACTGTACAGTTCTCCCTTTGTCTTTTGAGGTTAAATAAGTCTTCTACAAAGCCCAGATACTCCTCTAAAGTTGACTGTTTTATTATTAAGGCTATGATGACACCTTCCCTTGCTAATCAGCAGAAAGGAAAAACCTGAAATAAATGTTCATAGGCCAAGGGCAATAGGCCTAAGTGCAGCAGGTGGTCCAGGGTTGTGCCTGCACTGGAGGAATGTCCACATGGCAGCTCTTGGCTAGGGGTAGCAGACGTCAAGAAGCCAACAGGGCCTAAGCAAACCTCTACAAGATTTTGTTGAGGGAAAATGTAGGTACTGTACAACTTTCTCTTCCTACCTTCCCGATCTTTAAATTACTGTCAAGTTCTCAAGTGAGACTCTTGATAATCAACCGAAAGAGAATCTTCAGCTGGGTGCAGATCACCAGAATGGTAGTTAAGGAAAAGCAATCCCCACCACCCTATCCACTGCAGGCAACAAAGAACTTACTATCCTGAAGCTTCATCATTAACCAGCCTGGTGACCCCCAGCAACGTCCAAGGCCTATTGAGGTCACATTTTATACCTTCACTACTTTACACATGTTTTAACAGAAAGGAACTACTTTTTAGAAGGGCTTATAAGATTGTTTCCCTAAAATAGCTGCAGAGACAGGAGGAAAGAGTCTTGGGGTATTGAAAAGAAGCTCCTTGGACTACGGGCCCACCCTACTTCAGTGATAGGAGCCTCCATTCACCTATAGCTCTCACCTGTTCAACTGCAATATACCTACAACTATCATCTGCTCCCCTATAACTCTCACCTGCTCACCTACAGTTCTGCTCTGCAGGTCAGAGGCTGACATCAAAAGCTAGGACAAACTCTGAGGACAGAATGAGTAATTCTACAGTCCTGGAAATCCAGTCTACTCCAGGTTGCTCATACCATACAACCTATCCCACTGCACAGATGAGATCTAATTCTTTGCCCTCCTTGAGGTCCACAGTGATTGCTCAAATACCACTAGGAGCAACAATGACCCAAAGCAGCCCCACACAGACAGTGGGCATATTCGGGAACTTCTCTCCTGCTTTCCAGCCAGAGTCTCAGATCCATCCCAGAGAAGCTGAATCAAACGTCTCCCCCTCTGCTACAGGAGCTTGCCTGGAGTCAAGGGTGTTACAATGTGAGGCTAATTATTGTAGCCTTTTAATACGCTCTCCTCTGAAGCCCTCCCGGGAAGGATAAAATAAAACACTGCATAATAATATATGAAATGAACGGTGGACCTGGAACCTTCAGTAATTGTGTGACCTTGGACAAAGCAGTTGACCCAGACTTGCAGTCTCATTAACACAGGAGACAGTGGGGGAGAGGCCGTTTCCCTTCCCTTGCCAGGGTGAGAAGGGTCAGGCCAGAGTCAGGGAGTGTCAAAGTGGACCAGGAGAGGCCGCTGCCTCCTGGGAGACACAGCGCCTGGCTATTCTTTATGTACACCCTACAATTTTTGTTCAGCTGACGATCTCAATTTTATCTGCTGAAGTTGGGGTTTTTTTTTTTTTTTTTTGCCTTGCTTTAACTATGAACTATGTTATACACACAGAAGGGTGTAAGAAGCTTACCTACAGCTCTGCTCTGCAGGTCAGAGGCTGACATCAAAACACAGGACAAACTTTGAGGATGGAATGAGTAATTCTACAATCCTGGAAATCTATCCAGTCTACCCCAGGCTGCTCATACCATACAACCTATCCCACTGCACAGATGAGATCTGTGCAGAAGGGTATAAAAGAAGGATATAAAACGTTTAGAAACCACGAACAACACGAACACCTGTGTATTTGTCTTTGGCAAAGTCCATTAACAATTCCCAGGAAATAAAAATAAAATCAGTGACAGAACAAAATCTAACCTTCCTTCTCCTTTGGAGCTTAGTCTGGTTTCGCTTGCTCATGCAGAAGCCGCGCACCTGGCCCTTCAGACCAGAGATCCTTCCAGGAAGCGGCCCAGCAGACACCCCAGCTCCCCAGCTCTCTGCGGAAGCGCCAGGCACAGAGCCTCAATTCAAGATGGCCGCAGCACGCGGGCAGCAACGCTGGGAACAGTCGCCCTCTGAGCCCTGAGCAGCGCAGCAGCGCCCACCCCAGCGAACTCCACCCTCGTCTATCTTCGCCCGCCTCAGAGACGCCTGGCCTTTCGGGGGGCCCTGTGCTGTACAGCACGGAGTCCCCAACCTCCAGGATGTAATGCCTGATGGTCTGAGGTGGAGAAGATGTAATAGTAATAGAAATAAAGTGCATAATAAATACAATCAGCTGGAATCATCCCCAAACCATTCCCTTCCCCCACACGCACCCTGTGGGAAAAAATTATCTTCCACAAACCAGTCCCTGGTGCCAAAAATGTTTGGGACCCTTGCTGTAGAGCATGAGGTTGCACCCCTCGATTCTTGGATCAAAGCGTAGACTTTTATTCTGCTTCTGAACTGAACTGGATGTCATTCTGTTGGCTCGAATGACACCTGGCAGGAGAATCATAGTTGGGACACAACTTGAAAGGCTCAGTAACATATTCACCAGTCGGGAACAGAAATAGAATCTTCCCAGGTGGCTCAGTGGTAAAGAATCCGCCTGCCAATGCAGAAGATGCAGGAGAGATGCAGGTTTGATCCCTGGGTCGGGAAGATCCCCTGGAGTAGGAAACAGCAGCCCACTCCAGTATTCTTGCCTGGAAAATCTGTCCATGGGGTCACAAAAAGCTAGACACAACTGAGAGACTGAGCATGCACAGAAGCAGGTATAGAATCTTATGTACCTTAAAATCCCCACACGACTCCTCCACATCACGTTCTCCTTCTTCCCCTGCTAACCTTACTAGGCTGATCTTGTGTTAATGGTTCTCTCTTTTCTTGTCACCCATGACTGTGTCTCTAAAAAAATAGACTATAAATTTGCTTTTTGACATTTATATCAATCCAGTCACACTGTTAGGAGTTGATCTGTGACTTGCATCTTTGTGCTCAATTTTATGTTTTTAAGATTCCTTCATGCTTTTGAGGGCAGCTCTGAGTAGGGCATTCATTTTCACTGCTGTATCCTATTTCTTCATATGTTGAATCAAATAAATCAGAATGTATGTATTCATTTTTCTGTTGATGGGCATTTGAGTAGTTTCCAATTTGGAGTCACTAAGATCAACGCAGCTATGAACACTCTTGCGTGTCTCCTGGCACACATGTGTAAGAGTTTCTTCAGCCAGGAGTGGAATTGCTCAACATAGTGTGTGGATGTTCTGGTTTACCAGGTAATACTAAGTAATGCTATCCTGTTAATCAACGTGATTGTACCAATTTATATTCCCACTAGCAGTTAGTGAGTTCCTTGCAAACAACCTCAACACTCTAAATTATCAACTTTGTTGTTGCTAATTTATTAGTATAAAATGGTCTATCATTGTAGTTTGAATTTGTAATTCTCTGGTAAATAATGAGATTGAGCATCTTTCCATATGATTGTGAGTCATATGTGTATTCTTCTGTAAAACTGCCTACTATTCTGTCATTTGTTTTATTCTTATTGCTTCATAAGAATTGTTATATATTCTGTAGTTATATACGCTTGATGCTATATATTGCAAATCTCTATATATATATTGTATCATTTGTTCACTATCTTAAATGTATCTTTTGATAAGGAAGTTCTTAAGTTGAACATAGTTGAATTTGCAACAATTTATAGAAGTTTTGATCTGTAATAGGGCCTATCACCTTCTGCAGCTTCTTTAGGATTGTTTGACTATCCTTGGCCTTTAAATTTCTATGTAAAGTTAAGAATCTTCTAGCCAAGTTCTACCAAAAAATAAGCAAATAAAAACTCCTACTGGAATTTCACTAAATCTATAGATCAAAAAATACAATTGTAAACTCGTTCATTATTTGATCTATAGATTTAGTGAAATTCCAGTGGTACACATGGTGTATGTCTGGATGGTTTTAGGACTAAAGTCTTTCAGTAAAGTTTTAGAGCTTTATCTCTACTTCTGTCTCTTATAAATGCATTTACTAAGCACTTAATTTTTTATTGCTAATCTAAGTGGTGTCTTAAGTTTGTAGTTTCTAATTACTGCTGGTATATTGAAATACAATTAATTTTTACATTAATTTTATTTGCAGACATCTTGTTGAACTCTTATTAGCCCTAATAATTCATATATAGATTATTTTGGAATTTCTACTACTACAAATAGTGACAGATGTTTCTTCCTTTCCAATTTTTAGACTTTTCACTTCTTTTTCTTGTTTTACTACCCTAGCCATGATTTCCTATACGTTGTTGAACAGGAGTCTTTGAAGTGGGCATCTCTGTCTTATCCCTCGAACTTAAATTTTTGACAATTAATAATGATGTTTGCTGTAGGTTTTTAAGAGGTTCTTTTGCAGACTAACAAATACCTCTTCCATTTTTAGTTTGCTTTAACTGCATTCCAGAAGTTTTAAAACATCATATTCAATTCTATGTATGTAAATTTCCATTAGACATTTTCTTTGATCTATGAGTTGTTTAAAGTGTGCTTTTCATTCTAAATATAAGGATGTTTCTCATTATGTTTTGTTATTATTTCTAACCTAATTACATTTGAAATTTATTCATAGGAAATTCCATGAGTGCTGAGAAAGAAGAAATAATCTCCAACTGCAGAGTCCAATGTTCTCCATTTGCCGATTTTATCAAGTTTATTAATGTGTACTTTAAATCTTCTGTATCCTTACTGATTTTTTAGTTTAGTCCTTACTGTTTAGTCTGTTAATTTCTGATACAAATGTGCTAAGATCTCCTGCTAGTGCAATAGATTTGTCTGCCTTCCATTTGTATTATTTGTCATTTGTTTGCTTTATATATTTTGAGACTACATGTGTATATACGTAATATATATTATATACATTTTAAATATATATCTTATTACTAATATATATGAGATGGTATTTCATATATGTCATATAAATCTACATATAGCTATGTATGATAGATATATATATATACATATATATACAAGACATAAACCTATATCTTACAAGTTTAGAATTATTATATATTTTGGGGAAATTAAGCCTTTTACCATTTATATGGTGACATTGCTCATAAAACTGTTTGGCTTAAAGTCGGCTTTTTTTCTTTTTTTAAAAAACTATTTTGGCTGCATAGTTGTGGCATGCGTGTGTGTGTCATATGAGATCTTTAGTTCGCCAACAGGGATTGAACCTGTCATCTGCATTAGAAGGTGGATTCTTAACCACTGAACCACCAGGGAAGTGTCTGTTTTTTTCTGATATTATTTTTCCATTTTTCTTTTGATTAGTACTTGCTTATTGTATCTTTTTTCATCCTTTAACTTTCAATATTTCTATATCCTTATGTTTAAAAAGCATCTCACAATCTCAAAAATATACAAGCAACTCCTGCAGCTCAATTCCAGAAAAATAAATGACCCAATCAAAAAATGGGCCAAAGAACTAAAGAGATATTTCTCCAAAGAAGACATACAGATGGCTAACAAACACATGAAAAGATGCTCAACATCACTCATTATCAGAGAAATGCAAATCAAAACCACAATGAGGTATCATTTCACGCCAGTCAGAATGGCTGCTATCCAAAAGTCTACAAGCAATAAATGCTGGAGAGGGTGTGGAGAAAAGGGAAACCTCTTACACTGTTGGTGGGAATGCAAACTAGTACAGCCACTATGGAGAACGGTCTGGAGATTCCTTAAAAAACTGGAAATAGAACTGTCATATGACCCAGCAATCCCACTCCAGGGCATACACACTGAGGAAACCAGATCTGAAAGAGACACGTACACCCCAATGTTCATTGCAGCACTGTTTATAACAGCCAAGACATGGAAGCAACCTAGATGCCCATCAGCAGACGAATGGATAAGGAAGCTGTGGTACATATACACCAGGGAATATTACTCAGCCATTAAAAAGAATACATTTGAATCAGTTCTAATGAGATGGATGAAACTGGAGCCCATTATACAGAGTGAAGTAAGACAGAAAGATAAAGACCATTACAGTATACTAACACATATATATGGAATTTAGAAAGATGGTGATGATAACCCTATATGCAAAACAGAAAAAGAGACACAGATGTACAGAACAGATTTTTAGACTCTGTGGGAGAAGGCGAGGGTAGGGTGTTTCGAGAGAACAGCATCGAAACATGTATATTATCAAGGGTGAAACAGATCACCAGCCCAGGTTGGATGCATGAGACAAGTGCTCGGGCCTGGTGCACTGGGAAGACCCAAAGGGATCGGGTAGAGAGGGAGGTGGGAGGGGGGATCGGGATGGGGAATACATGTAAATCCATGGCTAATTCATGTCAATATGACAAAACCACTACAATATTGTAAAGTAATTAGCCTCCAACTAATAAAAATAAATGAAATAAATAAGTAAATAAAAAGCATCTCATGTAAATAGCATATGCTAAGTTGTATTTCTTTATCCAAGTTATTGATTCTTGTCTATTAACTCAGGACATAACTCCTGTTGTATTCATAGTAATTACTGATATATTTGAGTTTATTTCTATGATCCTACTATGTGTATATATTTGTTTCTCTTTATTCTTCTCCCATCGGAGAAGGCAATGGCACCCCACTCCAGTACTCTTGCCTGGAAAATCCCATGGAGGGAGGAGCCTGGTAGGCTGCAGTCCATGGGGTCGCGAAGAGTCAGACATGACTGAGCAACTTCACTTTCACTTTTCACTTTTATGCATTGGAGAAGGAAATGGCAACCCACTCCAGTGTTCTTGCCTGGAGAATCCCAGGGATGGGGTCGCACAGAGTCAGACACAACTGAAGTGATTTAGCAGCAGCAGTAGCATTCTTCTCCCATACCCCACATCTTCTGAATTAAGCAAGATTGCTGTTGCTTGTATTTCATTTGTCTTTTATTCATTTACAATTTATCATATCCATATCCTTTTTGTGGTTTGCCCTAAAAATTATAAAATGCATTTCTAATAATTTAATAATTCTATAATTAATATTTTAAGCCCTCCTGAACAAGTCAAGGTTCTTAATTTTTTTCCTTAATTCCAATTATCTGCCCACCTAATCCAGTGCTTATGTTGTGTGGTATTTTACTCCTAATATTTTTTTCCCTGAAAATAGGACATTTTAATCATGTTATATGTTAAGGTTTATTTAGATTTAAGTTAAGGGTTAGAAGTTATGTTTGGTT